TTAGGAAGGTCAGGTATTTAGTGTTCACACTTCTCCCTATGTAGGTCTTTTGTCCTTTTCCCTAGCTACTGGTAAGAAAACAACAACAACAACAACAAACGGGAAGATAGACTGGCCCTTGTCTAATACTGTACTTGGTACAGAGAAGGCATTCAATAAATGTTTCCTAAATGAATGGGGGGGGGGTAACATATTGTTCTGTTGTTGTAGTTAGGGGTTAAGAAAAAAGTCTATTTTTTCTTATTCATTGCCCAAATAAAAACAATCTAGCTATGAACCTCAATGCCTACATTTGAATGCTACAGGTCAATGCTAAAAATGAAAAAGCAGATGAGAAAGTGTCTTGTGGATTTCTATATGAACATATGTTCTAAGTGGTGTTGAAATTAGTGAATGTGCTGAGTGTTCTCCAGTGGAGCTGTTGTGCAGTAGTTTGGAGGAGTTATTTTAGGACTTTGCCAAATGGGGAAACCAAAGAGAAGAGTCAAGGGAAAATACTTCCCCAACCCCCTTTTGAAGGCCTATGAAAACCAGCAGCTGTGGGGAGAATACTTTGTTCCAGGACTCTTAAGACCTTCTTATTCAACTAGTTGATAGGTAAAATACATAATTCTCCATGTGATATTAGGCAAGGTATGATTTAACAGCAATGCCCATTCATTACAGGTTCCAAGGTGATGTTTGATGGTTTTAAATAGGTAGCGTCATGCCATATTGCACAATGGAAAATCTATTTTCAGTACAGATTCCAAGCAGGAAGCCACATTTCTCATCAAAAGGTGTTTAAGATGCATCTCCCACAGCCAGGATACTGACACAGTGCTGATTAGTCTAGAAAGGACGTACACCTACACATCCCCTAAATATCTTGCCACTGACAGAGGACTCAGGGTAGAGAGACAGGGACCTATAATACCCACAGCCAAAGACTGGCAGGAAGGCGGATGGCTAACACAGAAAGTCATGAATGAAAATTGGCCAGTAGACCTGTTACTTTACAACTGCACTTGAGCAGTTGTAAAATAGAGAATGAAGAATTTGGTAAGAGTTCCAAAAAAGTAGACTTGCAAAAACAGCACAAAGCAAGACAATGTGGGGCAAACAAACAAACAAACAAACAACAACAAAACAAGAGTCCCCAGATGTGAAATCAAAACATAATTTGAACTTGGGGCTGGGTTGTGGCCCAGTGGTAGAGCGCTTGTCTCGCATGTGTGGAGAACTGGGTTCGATCCTCAGCACCACAAAAGTAAATAAAATAAAGGTATTGTCCCTATCTACAACTAAAAAAAGGTCTTTAAGTTAAAAAAAAACATAATTTGAACTTAAAAATATTTCCTAGGCCATCTTGATCGGGGTCAAACTAGTTCTTTAGAGAGGATGTCCTGGAGATTGCTATGAGAACTTCTATGTGTCTTTTAGAATTTATCATCTTATCATATGCACATTTGCACATGCATGTCTATATACATGTCTGTACACATATTTACTTATGCATACTGAGCTATACATACACTTCTTATAGAAAAGGCATTTATTAATTTTAATAGACACTGTTGTTGCCTTCATAAAGTTCCAAGTTTAAGACTCTTTTTACACTATCATATCTGTCTACTTTTTTCCATCTCTCTCACCTATTTATCTATATCCAAATATCTTCAAGCCAAATGAGCCCTATTTGTTATGACTATGAATACTTCAATTCTCAGAGTGGCCAAAGTCACACGGGTACTATTTTTCACAGAATTCTGACATACTGAATATGACTGAACATGTGACACCAAACACAAGAATAAAATCATGATTAACAGTTGCATAAGGAAAATGTGGTAAGGAGTGAGACCAGAGCAATGCAGGATTTGGGAGGAAAGTGGTATCAGTTTCCCAAAGACCTTATTACACTCCCCACCCTATATACTCCAGAAGGGATCTTCTTGACACCCTTTAGCATAAGAGGCAGAAGAAATGTTAAGTGAGGCAACAGATGAGGGTTCATTCCCTCTTCTACCTCCATGGACAAATGATTCACCCTCCTGAGTGTCACTTTCATCATTTTTATAGACAGAGATATCAGTCCAGGGCAGCTTGAGGTTCAAATGTGATGAGTGTGCACAGTTCTAGAAGGCACACAGCTGGCACAAAGTAGGTGACTAATGCATTTAGTGTGGTTTAGTCAATAACTGAACTCAAGTTGCTATATAATTGATTCATTGAGATTTCAAAGCAGTTATGAATACAGTTAAAATTTCTTAAACATAGTTTGGATCCTTTTTTTTTTCTTTTTTCAATCAGAAAAATACAGAAAGAATTTCTTTACTGTTTTGTTCAGAAACTCCCCCATTTGCAGCTCTTGAGTAAGAATGACGAGGAGGTTCAGGGTACAGCTCCGTGGTGGAGTGTTTGCCTAGCATGCATGATATGGAGCACCGCACACGCACACACATACACAGGAAAAAGGCTGGGAGGTTTGTTACTTTATAAATTCTATTTTTAATCTTTAACCTTTACAGAAGCTTATACCTCTGAACAGTTACTCCTCAAATGTTATCACTCTTTCAAGAAAGAGTATCCTTTTCTCTATGATTTTAGATTTTTTAGATCTATTTTCTGAGGTTTGCTCTATATGCAGTATTAATTTGAGCATCTGTCTCCCTGTTTGTAAGTTTTTCGTATGATTGGTTGGCAGATTCCTCAGCAGTTGTGATTTTTTAAATTTATATCCCCCAAAGCTTTTAGTAGAATAGTGGGCAGATAGTAAATATTCAAACTTGATTTGCTAGGTGGACTTAGTTTTTAAAAATCTCATCCTCAGAGAGCTGAGCCAGGACAGGCCATAAACACAATGAGTTTGTGGGTCATCTACCTCTTGTCGGACTCTGAGACATCACATGCAATCCTCATAGGTTATAACAAAAAGGTGCCAACTCTGACTCATTACTGTGGAATTTCAAAAAGCCTGTCCTACTGTCACCTGTCCTAACTTGAAGATTCTTCATTTCTAAGCCCTGTTTCATGGAGAGGCCTGGAATGTAGCCTTCATGAGATAAGAGTATCATTTTTCTTCAGATGCTATCAATGAAGTTAAAATCATTCATTAAGATATACCAAAGCCTAACCTCCATCAAGGACAGAAGGAGGAACTGGATTTATCTGCAATGGTTCCTCATGTGAATAAATGTTTACTGAAGTGAGTAAGCAGGACAGTTCCACCTAAAACTTGGAGAGGGGACAGGAGAAGAAACAGACCAAAAAAGCAAGAAGGAAATGGCTCTCCTTTTCAGTGGTCCCTTTAAGTCCAGAGCCCGAGGGTCTGCACTCCAGCTCCAGGCGTGGCACAAGGCAGGAGCTGGAGGTCAAGGCACCCTCCTTGATGGAGAGCCAGGCTGTCACTCACCCCTGAACTGCACCGAGCACAGAGCCTAAAACATCTGCTGCTCTGTGTGATCATCCTCTTCAGGAATGGTTTATTATCAAGCTAAAATAGGGCCAAGTCAAAACAGGATGGTTCAGTTCCAAAAATAGTATCCTGGGCTTGGATCTGCTCTTCATTATTAACCACCTGTTAGTGGTTCAAGGCACCACTCCATGCCTATTACCCTTAGCTTCCTCTCTGAAAAAAGAGGATGTTAAATCTCTTTTTTCTAATTTTAAAAAAAATCTTTATTTCTCTCTCTTTTTTTTCTTTGAAATCCTTTCATCTTGGGCTAGGGTCATAGCTCAGTGGTAGAGCACTTGCCTCGCACATGTGAGGTACTAGGTCTGATTCTTAGCATCACATATAAATAAAGATCCATTGAAAACTAAAAAAAAATATTAAAAAATCCTTTCATCTTATCTCCTTTCATTTAAGTGAATTTCAGTTGAATTATTTCCCATGGGAAATATAATGAATTCTCTTTCTTTTCTGGGATTTCATAATGGAATTAACCATCAACACATTTCTAAAGATGGCGGAGAAAAGATAAATTAATTCTTATGAAACATTCCTTATAAACTAAACTTTTCACATTTATTTCATTCTTGCAAAAGTATTATGAAGTAGAAATTTTCTCTACTTTACAGTTAAGGAAGTTGTGGCTTAGAGAAGTCTAGTAATAAGCCTAAAGCCACAGAGCAGGTAGGAGCTAGGTGGTACCAGGCATGGCTCTCAGGGTCTACATGAAGGAAAAGCTCAGGTTCCCCCTAGGCCTGATGCCAGGTGTACTTTCCGAGGTACAGAAGGTAGTAGGTGCCCCATTTCAACAGATGGACAGACTACTGAGGACAGAAGGCTTCCTCAATTTTGTAGTAAATCAGCATTTTGATGACAGAAAGAAATCACACTTGTTTATAAAACAGAGTCTAAGTTCAGGCTGGTGACAAATTGTAGGAAAATAGCCTTTCATATGATAACTTGATTTCTATTTGATTCCAGCATTGGCACTTCAGAGTTTTTAAATGGTGAAATATGACAAATTGAGTTTGTTGTGTTTATAAATTTTTTATTAAATTCTAGTAATACATTTGATATTGTTCAGCTTTATCGAGGTGCACCTGACAATAAAATTGTATGTACATAAGGTATGCTTATATGATGACTTCATTAAGAGTATTTTTCTAAATGATGCATCCAGTTCCCCAACACACTGCTTCACTGTCCATGACATCTGTCGTATTATAAACTTTTATTTCAAACTTTATTTCTTCTTATAAAAGTAATTTTCTCCACTGGAAATGATTAGGAAGGCTTCCCCAGCTGGGCATAGACCACAGCACACTGTAGCCAGCACTACACTTCCTCATGCTTCAGGAAAGATTTTCCTCTGAACTTCCCTTGTACGTCTCTTTCTTTTTCCCCCCCCCCGTGTTTGTGTTGGCTGTAAGCCTTTCAGTCCTTGCGTGTATTTGGCCAGGTGCCGAATGAGAGTCAGCACTTAGCCTGGAAGTATCGTTTTCCAACACTGACAGAAGGAAAACTCCGCCTCCCACACCCACTTCTAATTACCATAATGCTACAAAACATGACATTGCATCCTTCACCCATCACTTGTGAGTGTCTACTTTTCACAGCTCTCATTTCTCCAGAAAAGGATTTTGAGCCACATGGAGAACATGCCTTTAAGCTACCCAGGTCCCCAGGGAGCACAGAGATGGTCCTATAAGCGATGGCTCCTCTGCTCAGCAATACTTCTGACGGTTTGCTCTTTCAGTGCACTAATCCTTCCTTTTCTCCCACTCAAGGTAAGGAGGAAGCAGAACCTGAGATGACTGTTTATTAGGATCCTTTACTTGTTTGTTAGTCTAGTTATTTTCATTACTCCTCAGTATTGTAGAGATAATTGGAAGGAAGAGACCTGTGAGTGCAAATACAGTAAATATAATCTTGATCTTATAATGGCATGGTTTTTGGAGCTTATTTGTGTGTTTTGAGACAAAGGTATCAGGAAGTGCTAAATGTTAGCTGCAGAACTGAGCTAGATGTAAAAGATAATTGATTGAGTCAACGGATTGGCAAATGCCTGTGGAGTATGTTTTGCCTTTCTGGAACTCTGCTATACCTTCTTGAGAGGACAAACAAAGGCATAAAACATGGTGCCTTTCCCCAGGAAATTGTAGGCAAGCTACAATCTTGTAGAGGGAAAAGATTCCTGAAGATAATAGAGGGGCAGAAAAAGGTAAGTTACATGTGGTTAGCATGTCTTTGAGAGAGGAAATAGCACTGATCCAGGAGTAAAAAAAATATGGATTCTGGTTCCAGGTCTCTCAATAATCAGCTATTTAAATTTGAGAAAATCATTTAATCTCTCTGGTTCTTTGCTTTTTCATCTGAAAAACAGTGGTAGGGGAATGGATTTGTTATTATAATGTTGCTGCTTGCTATAAAATAGAATGATCAATAATTTATCTAACATCGGTATGTACACAAAGCTTTAGTAATTCAAAAGTGGGTGCAGACTTTGGGTTGGAGTAATCCAGGAAGGCTTCATGGAAGAAGGAGGAAGTAAGTGCCTATCTGGGAAGCCCCTGATGCTGATCAGGAATTTCCCACTGAGCTGCAGTGCAAGATGTGGGACCAGAGAATGGGATTGTCCATGGGAATGGAGATAAGTTAGCTTCTTTACTAGAAGATTTTCTCTGATGACTGTTACCAAAAAGAAAATAGGAAACATTATATAATTCAGGAGTGAACCCATTTGGGGGTACATCTGAAGACTGCACCTTGGGTATATGCCCTTCTTAAGGAAGAGCTGGGGTGTGAGTACAGAAACATTTTTCTAAAGGTACTGACAAGAAGATTTCAAAGATGTGGTCCTACTACATCAGAGGCACTCCTAATCACAGACCTTCTCTCTCAGGGATGTATCAAAAATATGTGTGGACTTTCTAGAGCAATGAAGTTTGAACAGAAAGAAAAGAATTGCCAGAATCTCTGAGCATTTAGGTTTCTGAAGAAGAGGAATGATGAGAATAGCAATAACTTCCATTTAGAAAGGCTTCCTTCTGAAACTTCAAGTTTTATTAGGCAGATGGCTCTGAAGAACATTGAATGTAGGTGTCACCATGACTAGAATGGGAGGGAAATACCTTCTCAAAGGACACCTCTTGCCAGAATCAAACTTGGTTAATCCACATTTTTCAGCTATGATTCTAGATCCTCTCTCCTAAAGAACATGAAGCTTTTCAATGAAAAGATAGTCCAGAGTTTGTTCAAATTTAGGAAAATGTGACAGGATGCTTAGAAGGCTAGTTTCTCTGATGAGCCTCCACTTTCCACCTGCCTGCACCTCCCTTTCCCTTTTGGCCATTAATAAACTTCTTTGGAGAGGAGATCTGAGTGGCTGGCCGACGGTGAGTCATTGTGAGGCAGCCACTTCCACCTTCTCGTGGACCCAGAAGTTTTATTTTGTTCTCCACTCAATTTTTATATACAAATCCCCACTTTTACAAATGTTAGATGGGAAGTTTGGCTCATTTTACACCAATAGATATTTCCTGGGGAGAAAAAAACAAATCATTTCCTCTCCTGAAAGATTCATTTAACTAAATGGTTAACTAAAAGGATAGGCTTGAGCTCAAGGAGTGTGGTCAATCTCCAGAGAACATAACCTCACATAAGTAAGTTGTCTCTAAGAAACCAAATGTTCAGTAAAGTCCCCTGTTACAGTGAAATAAAGGACACTTCCAGAAGGGGAAGCTGTACTTGCACTCAAGTGATGATCTGCTTAGGGTTGCTTCAAAAAAAGAATTGAGTTTTTGCCATTTTGAGCTCAACTATTTAAGTCTAGGCTTAAACTAAAGTAAGGTTACAAGAACAACTGATCCCTCTAAGCAAAAACAAGTGAAACTGGAAGTCCCATGCCCTTCTTTATAAGTGGGTACTTACTCCTTTCAAACATCATCAGAATTATAAATAGAAACTGCCCCACAGGTAGTCCTGTGGAGTTCTGAATAAGACAAGCTGGGTTTGGATCTAAGCCTTGCCTCTTACAGTCTCCTGACCTTGGGCTAGTTACTGAATTAGGCGTCTCCTCATTGCCTCATTTGTAAAGGATCATGCCAATTCTTACAGAGTTGCTTTAAGGACTAATGAGATAGGACAGTGCCTGACAAGCTTGACAAGTGCTATGCTCTCAACAGATGGCGATTAGTGTTTGCAACATTACTATTAGTGAGATTACAATGAACGTGAACTTAACAAAATCTTTTAACAATATGGATATTCTTTCCCAATTTATCTCTTCCTCAAAGGCCATACCTTTCAGCCAACCTGATAATTTTTCAATTAGACTTCATTTATGGCAATAATTACAGAAAACCACAGTGGCAATTTCTATAGCTCTATATAGTAAAATCTAGATATTAAAGCAGCTTGCAATACAGTATCTGTAGTTTCTGGCTCTGGCAATTCATACAACCATGGTCTTGAATTTTCTCTATACCTTTTATACACTGTGGTGCCTGGCATGAGATCTATGGAATGTATCTTGGCACTCATTTATACTTATATTGTTACCTAATTGCTTTGTGTGTATGTAATCATGTCTTTCTAGAAAGATTATAAACTTTTTTTTTTTTTTTGGTACTAGGGATTGAACCCAGGGGCATTTAAACACTGAGCACATCCCCAGGCCATTTTTTATATTTTATTTAGAGACAGGGCCTCACTAAGTTGCTGAGGCTGACTTTGAACTTGCAATCCTCCTGCCTCAGCCTCCCAACCACTGGGATTACAGGCGTGTGCCACCCCAGCCATCTGAAAGATCATAAACTTCTTAAGAACATTAAATTGATCTCTTTAGCTTTCAATGCTATTGTAAGCTGTAATGATGTTGGGAATTTAGTACTTAAATTTTTGTCAATTCTTCATTATAATCAGCATCATTACCAAAATAGCTAATATTTATTGAACAGGTTCAAGCAGGTTATATGGGAAAGCCCTTCACTAGAATTACCTCATTTAACCCCAACAACAACTTCAATGAGCTTTGTGCTATTATTTTCCAGATGAGGAAGTTGGGTTCAGAGAAGCTCTGTCAAATGCCTATCAGGGGTTGATCTAAACTGAATTTCAACTTCTCTCCTAAGACCACCAATATGAGGAGAAAAAAATTACAAGAACAAAATCAGTGACAGGGAATCCAGTGATTTATTTCTTAGAACGGTGGCTTCCAGACTTTTCTACTCTACTTCCTTCTCAATAAAATGTTCTCATTATAATTTCCAACATATGTATGCTAACTGGGATTTCAGTTTTGCTCTAGAAGCAGCCTAAAATTTCCCGGTCCATTCATCCTTTCCACTGGACTTGGATTCTCTTCAGACATCAAACATCTGTTCCCATTCTCACACTCAGCTGACAGTTTTGCCTTGAGGTTTCAAGAGGAAACAGGAGTGTGAGGGAAGAAGACTCATAGCCACCCGTCTACCTCTTGTGTCCTTGAATACTGCTTCTGTCCTGACTTGGCACCAGCCTCTTTGACTTGGCACCAGCCAGGCTCCGCCCAGTTCTTCCCTTTCCTGGAGAGCAATACTGGTCCAGTTTCTCTTTTCTTGTTTATCCTTAAATCTATTCTAATTAAGCTTCTTCCCTCATCACATCACAGAAACTACTTTTGTCAGGAACTCCAATGACTGCCCTGTTACTAGAGCCACCGATCCATTCTCTGCCCTTTATTTTCGTACCTATCAGAAGGATTTGATAGCAGCTGGTCACTCCTCTCCCTAAGACACTTTCTTCTCAGACTCACTGCCTTTCCTTCAGAGTTTCCTCTGCTGGTTCCTCGTTCTCTGACCCCTGAACATGGCAGTGTCCTGGTGTTCATCACCATCTGCACTCCCTGACCTGACGGTCTCACACAACTTCACAACTTACAGCAGCAAGCTGAAGATACCCAGATTTGTATCACCAGGACCCCTTATGTCCTGCTGACTACTCAACCCCTTTCTTGGACACCTACTAATCATCATGAATGTAACATCTCCCAAACCAACTCCTGACTGGGCCCCCTCTAAATTCACTGTGCCCATCTCAGCAACTAGCTTTCCTGGCACTTCGGCCCAGAACCTTGGCGTCACCCTGGTGTCACACTTGCCTCTCTCACGCCCTGTCCCATGTTCCTGTCAGGCATCCCAGTCAGCCCTTTTCTTCCAAGCTTCTCCCCATCTCCACCCTGGCTCCCTAGTCAGTGGCCCTTGTTCTCTTGCCAAGAAGAACACAATGATTTCTTCTCTGTTCTCACTGCTCTTGTCCTTGCCTCTTTAGTTCACTTCCAGCATAGCAGCCAGAGAAATCCTAAAGACAGAACACGTATAAATCTTTGTTTTTATACAATACCTTTATTTTATTTATTTATCTTTATGTGGTGCTGAGTATTGAACCCAGGGCCTCACACCTGCTAGGTAAGCGCTCTACCACTGAGCCACAACCACAGCCCTGCACCAAACTTTTAAGTTCAAAAAAGTCACAAGTCTTTTTGTCACCAGGAAACCAAAGAACTTTGATAGCACAAAAAAAAAAAAATAAATAAAAAATCGTGCTTGTACCTAATCGAAACAGAGAGCTCCCAAACTTCCTCATGCTGAGAATAAAAACTCCTCACGCTGAGGACCAGGCGAAGGGAGCTAAAACTGACATATTCTCTGGCCTAGCTAGATGTACACAAGTATGTCATTGGCTTTTGTTTCTGTAAATGGGAACTGCTTCTGTGGGACCCATCTAGTTGTTTCTCCCCAGTTTGATCAAACTGCATAAAAATTATTTTACCTTTTTCCATTTTTTGCCTATTTCTCTGCCAGTGGGTGGCCAAGTCTAATCAGGTAGGTCCCTTGGTTTAGCTGTAATAACACTGTCTTCGTACAAAGTGTCTTAGAGCATTTAGAATTTAAATATCTGTATTTGTAAATCAACCACAACTGATGACCTCTTTTAGTATGTAAACTTCAGCACATGGCAGCAGTTGGAAACTGCTGGTCCCATTTCTGAGGTTATGGCAGTTGCTTGTGTGAGGTGTGATTATCTGACTAATCAAGGATGAATAATCAATGAGCAAGGATGACTTTATCAAGTCAGAGTTGTAGATATTTTTGGAACTTACTTTCCCATTATTTTAAATCAAGATGAACATAAGTAGAAACTCCATTATTTCCTCCACGTACTAATAGGTCACCTTGCACAGTCTCTGGGGTGTCTGATTGCTGTTTATAAGAAACGTTTAGAGCCAGAGGGAAAGGGCCGAGATCTGTAGTGGTCTTGTGGGTAGACATCAGTTGGAATAAGACCTTAATCTTGTGTGAAAGACCCACAAGGAGAGCTAGGTAATGAGAGGGAAAGGATGGAGCTGGTCACCTGTCCAGGGAAACAGAGAGTGGGACACGGTGGAGGGAGGGAGGGATTTTTTTTTCCTTTTATGGCTGTGGTTAAGTGGTTTGCTTCAGAATTCTGAAGCTTTAAATCAGTCAGTCAAGACAACAGTGATATGTTGTCATCCTGACCAATTCCTCTTTTCCTTCCACAGCAGGCTGCTACAGACTTCTGCCAGGCCAAGTTTGGTGAGTAGCCTCCCTTGCATTCCTCCCTTGGACTGGTCTTAGTTTTTGATATAAGACGAAACGATGCTCTCAAGAAAGCCTGTGTTCCCTGAGACACAGGAATTGACTTTTAATTCTGTTTTGATAAGGACAACACGTTTCAGGTTTTTACAAGTGCTTCCCAAAGCACTGCTCACGTTTCAGATATTGCTAATGTCCAGGAGATGACATGGGAGGTTCGTGGAGACAACGCAGCTGGTGTCAAATGTGTAGAAGAGGAATGAATTAAGGCAGTGGCCACTTTCTCTGCTCTTTTCCTTTCTTCACTTAGTTTCTGAGTTACTTTCCCTTATAGTTACCTGATATTTGTTAGAAAATAAAATCACTAAAGTTAATGATTACCTGGAGCATTAGAATATTTCTTAGAATACATACAAAACTTCAAGTAAATACATTTTTGGTGTTTATAGGTTTCAGGTCAAACAAACACCATTCCATTTGAGAGCAGAAGATGAGAATTCACTGCTAACTCTGCAACCCCCGAATTCCCATATCACTCAAATCTCCAGGCTTCCTGGGCTTGCAGAGATTAGAAAATTTCTGTCTATTTGTCCCTGCTTTTCTGTCTTATTTTTGTTTTGCCAGTTAAAGGTATGGAATTCATGCTAAGTTGGAAATTCCTCCTGCATGTGGTAAAAGTTGAGAAACTCTAGCGATCTAAGGAAGTTCTTCCGTGACCCCATTGCTGAATGAATAGGAGAAATAGTGACAGTACTTCCTGCCATTACAGGTCAAGGAGCAAGAGCTTGCTTGGGGCTCAGGGAGGTTGTTTCTTGCTCTAATCACCTCTCTTTCACTCTCCTCCAGAACCTGTCCTCCATGTCTTAACGTTAGTCATTTATACATGAATGAGAACTTAAGTTGAAATGTTAACTCTGCAGGGCTTTGTCTTCTATAACCCAAATTATAGAGAATTAGAGAACAGGCCAGGTAAGCACTTAGGGTTTAAAAGAACCTCCTAGGGCCCTGAAATCACATGGCTGTTCAAAACCAACTAGGAGGTAAATATTTAAATCTCATATGTACCTATGAAAATGTAGATAGGATCTGGAAACCTTTTTTGTCCCTTGGTGACAGTACTAAACAAGGAATACCCATATTTAAACAGTCAAATAATTTCTATTTATAAACTCATGGATTCACCAGTAGCTGGGGTAGGAGAGCTTAGATAATGATAGCCCATGTAGGTCTTGAATGACACATGCGTATACACTGATGAGAAGAGCCATAATAAAATCATTTGAGCTCAGGAGTCTTGAGTCTAACCTAGGCAAGATAGCAAGACCCTGACTCGAAAAATGAGTGTTGAGAATACAGCAATAAGCAAAATAGAGAAGCACTTGTTCTCAAAGATGTTATATTCAAGTATATGAGACAGACAATATACCAATTAATTTTTAATATGCTACACGCCAACAGCTTCTATGAAGAAGACAAAGTAGGGTAAAGGGAGAGAGTGACAGGAGAGTGTTATTTTATATGGATTAATTAAGGAAGGTGTCATTGGTAAAGCAACACAAAGTAAATAGGATTTACCTGGAGAAAGCATGGATTGCCACTCGAGCTCCCCAGTCCTGGTGTGCAGTTCTCGCTTCCTTCCTCCTTTTGTCTTTCCTTCCATTAACATTAATTGACAAGAGATGCAGGGCCACTTAACTTGTTTTTCTATGCCAAATATATTTCCCTAGAGCTCTCTGAGCAAGAGATATACCTAGGAATTGCAACTTCTTTTAATTTAAAATATTAAAATAATGTTTGAAGAAGGCTAGTATAGAGTGTATAAAGAAACAACCTGTGGGTATTAAAGAATTTAATCAAGAAAAGGATAAAACATTGGGGATGGGGTTGTGGCTCAGTGGTTGAGGGCCTGGGTTCGATCCCCAACACCACATAAATAAATTAAATAAACAAAATAAAGGTATTATGTCCATCTACAACTAAAAAAAATTTTTAAAAAAATATAAAAGGATAAAATAATAAAATAAATATGCTTCCTTTTTCCCTCCCTTCTTCCAGGACCATTACCCTCAAAATGGCAAATGGCACCTCCTGAACCTTCTTGCATGAATAAGACATCTGACTGGAAGCTGACAATCCTTAAGAATGGCTTGTATTTGATTTATGGACAAGTGGTTTTTGATACAACTTACAAAGGAGTTGCTCCTTTTGAGGTGCAGCTACGTAAAAACAAGGATGCCGTACAGACTCTAACAAACAACTTTAAAATCCAGACTGTAGGAGGGACTTATGAACTGCACACTGGAGACACAATAGGTTTGATATTTAACAGTGAAGACCAGATTCTAAAAAGTAACACCTACTGGGGGATCGTCTTAGTAGCCAACCTTCAGTTCAACTCCTAGAAATTTGATTTGGTTTCCTCACCCTATCTGGCATATGCAGAGACGGTGGGCGGTTGGAGGGGACAGATCTTCAGTGCCTGTCGTTTGTCAGGGTATACAAATCAAAACAAACTCCTCTACATGTGAGATTTTTTTTTTTTTCTCTCATGCTCATCTGAAAGTGACTCAAAAAAAGGGCCATAGGTTTTTGGTTACCCATGACACTGGGTCTTCAAAGATACTTCAATAATCCATGACAAAATGAATACAGGTGGCACAGGACAGAAACCCTGAAAGAGATGTTTTTTTTTTTTTCAATCCTTGAATCCCTAGGTGGAAAAATGAGGTCCTATTTCCATGGGAATCTTATCTGGTTTGCTAAAAGGGTGTAGGGTCATGGCCTGTTCTCATTTTCTTGATCTGCTTTATCATTCTTCCCCTACATCCATCTCTGAGAGTCTCCCAATAGAAAGTAGGCAGGTTGGTGGGTTGGCAACAGTTGTAGCAAGAACACCCTACTATAGATGCAGTGTTTCTAGAAGTTACAGAACACTCTTGAGACTACTGGGACTATACAGGTGCATGAAATGGATAGTACTGTTTATGGGAATTTCCCTTTGTTTCATCATACTCAGAATACAGGGTTCTTTACAAAACCAATTGGTCAAGGAGGTCTTTCTGAACCTTCACCTAGAGCTTCAATGTTTATGTGTCTAAATAATGTCAATTGTAAATTAAGACTCACCATTAGAAGACTCACCGTTAGTAATCAATAGATTTAATACCAGAAATTGGTATTTCTGTTGTTATATTATGTTAAGTATGATTTCATATTTTGAGCTAGTTTTCCTCAGTTTGCAAAATGCTTTCATATACCACATGACAACTCTATGAAGTTAATGGAGCAAGTATTTTTGGCAAAATTTTAACAGAATGTAGAAGCAGATGCAACCTAGGTATCCTGCCTTGACTCAACTAGAGATGAATTACTTGGGCTTTTCACTGTAACAGATGTTTTAGCTTCAGAACTCAAACAGTGTGAAACAGTGGAAAAAATTTTCTAAAAATAAAACTTTCTAAAAAAAAATTTTAGATTCTATTAAAGCTTACTGCTTATAGGTTCTTGTCAAAAGATATGTAACACTGCATTTTAAGACAATTTAAATATTTATGGATATTTGTGAAAAGCTAAATTCTGCTATCACATTATACATCTATAAAAATAATTTTCAGAAGATATTTTCCCTTCAGCACGGGGTAAAGTGAAGCTTCCATGGACCTCTCTTTTACCAGCAAACTGACTCCCTTCCTTGCCTGGAGCAGGGAATCCTGTGGTTCTGCTTGGGGCTCACTCCCTCCAAGTTCACCTCCTTCCTTCAAAGAGTCCATGTCGGTCAAATGTGCTAACTTCTAAAAATAATAAATAGCACTCAATTTAAAATTTTTAAACTCTGTAAAAGTTTGCTGCTTTTATAAGTCTTGCTGAAAAAAATATGTAACATTGCATTTTAAAAGTTTAAATATTTATGGATATTTGTGAAAAGCTAAATTATGTTAATTAATGTTATTACATGTAAAGCTAATTTAAGTATATTTGTAATTGTGTGCCATAAACTTCTCTTGGGGCAGGCTAAGCTATTTCTTCTTATTTTAAATTAATATCTGCTGAGCAGCTGTGAGACCAAATACTTGGAAACAAAGGCCTTTGTATTGCATATTTTCTCAGGAAATTAAAGGTTTATCACATATATTTGTAGAAACTTTATATCAATTGTCAATTTCTGGTATATTATAAGCAGTAGTGTACTAGAGTGGGCTGGCACCAGCTCATGAGAGCTTATTTTTAAATTTTCAGGACCTTTGCACTCTGGTTATTAAGTATGGCCATTTCTGAATTGGCTATGGTGGTAGTATTTACACTACAGGATCCAAAAACTCTTCTCTGTCCCTGCCTCAGTCCTAGATCAATCAAGGAAGGCAAGGAGAGAGTGGAATTGTTGCACTTTCAAGCAAAAACTCAAAGCAACAGTGATTTCTCACAGAAAACAGGTTTCTTCACTTCAGGCAGAAGGATGGCTACCAACAGATGATTTCTTAATTTTCTTGGTGTTTTCATTTCAGCCTTTGTTTTTAATGTCTTCTATTTTCCTCATCTGCATTTTAAAACTATAATCAAATGCATAATAGTACCTGGACTGCAGCTGATTGATACTTGGATAATTAGAGTTGGTGATCTAAAAAACATAGAGTTACATCAGGGAAATCCTTGCCCATGTAAGACTTCTTGGCAAGTTATAGGCAAAAGTGAAAGCTAGGTGTAATTAGATTGGGTTACAGTTTGTTCCCATTCCTGATGACTTAGTCAGGCACCTTCATTCTCTGACTTCCTCCCACCTCAGCCACTCCACCCTGCTTACCACGGAAGCCAGTCCTGACCCATCTCACACTAATTGTTCTTTTGCCTTCCATCTTGCCTCATTCAAAGCTGGCCCAGGGTGTGTTATAGTACTGTGGATTAAGCCTCTGCTTCTGAAAATGGCAATGGATTAAAAAGTGAAAGTCTTGTACATTTGTTAGAGCAAACTCCTTAGGTGAAGTCTATCTGCATCTTGGAAATAAAATTGCTGCCTTGCTCTGTCCCACTGAGGGAATTCCATTTAGGAAATTCAATGGGAGCACATTTTTTATTAGAGAAGAGAAGTAAACAAGATTGACTGATAGGTCAGCAGTTTGAGAATTCCTCTTCACACAGAAGCTGTAAATGATGCCTGGCACATACTCGTTGCTTGCTCTGAAAGAATACGCATTCTATAACTCTAGGAGTCTCCTGTGAGTTGCATATCTACTCATGGGAGACTGGAAAACATGCTTTGCCCACACAAGCTCAAAGAGCTTGTGCCCAACTCATTGTAGAAACAGCCTCCTGTCTCCACTACTGACCACTGGCTTTTCTCCTCCAGAGAAACAGATTTCTGGGGAAAGATTGTAGCCCACTGTAGTTTTTGCTTTCTTGGGTAGGAGTCAGGTACCAATTCTTTGTATATATGAATCAATAAACGTATTTCAAAGTTCTCTAAGAAGTTCCCTTTTGTCCTTAAGAGATGTGAATTTAGAAAGTTCTATTGCTGCCAAGGTAGTGGATGAAGATTCACAACGTAAGCACAGTTATCTACAAATGCTGTCATCAAGCTCTGCTTTTCCACATTATGGCTGTAAAAGTGTCTAAAAGTGGGAATTGGAGGAGATTACTTTGATCCCTTTTATAAATTCTGTATATTTCAGAGTATATTGTCTTAATCTCACTTTGGTATGAAGATACTAATATTGTGCCAGTTAAAACTGAGTCAGAAAAATCCTACTTTAACATTTAGTTTTACCCTTGTGTCTAAAAGGGACATGGGGATTAAAGCAACTTCCTTTTCTTTCCAATATCCCAATGAGAATGGGAATCTCTGAGTTCATTTGTTGAAGGTGATTGTTCCCACCTGGTTTGGTGGTTATCTGGGGGATATTGCAGTCACAGTAAATCCCTGTTCTAGAGCCTCAACACAGAGTCTGAGTTGGATCCTTCATTCATAGGTGAACTTGACAGTCTTAGTTCTTGGAGTGGAAGACACAAAGAAATTCTTATCTTCCCTCCTTGCCTTTTGGTTGTACTGCCTGACTGACCATCTAGTCTCTGAAAGGAATCTGATAACATAGAATCCAGGGTCTAATAGTGCCTGGCTCAGAGTCCTTCTAGTTTGTTGAGTGAACAAATAAAGAATCATAAATTTGAGTGTTAGTGTTAACATAGTGTTATCTTGTGCACTCAGGATAACAGAATCTAAAGAGGAAATCTCTGATCTTTTCTTTACTATTTCCTATCCCCTCACCTACTATTCTCAATTGGTCTCTTTCTTCATCAAAACCTATTCCCAAGGACATTTTTAATGTAGTCAATGAAAGAAAACTTACAAGCTCCTTGCACTGAAGGAAAGTGGCTACCCTATATTACCTTACTAAATCATGACAAATCCTATCTGTTTTAAGCTCATTGGACAGATATACAAAGAAGCTACTGTCTTTATGATATCCTAAGGCAAACAATTTATTCAGTGGTCAATGGCAGAGTTTCAAAGTGAAGTCCATGGGTTCTGCATCAGATTCACCCAGGATACTTGGAGAAAAAAAAAAGGTGAGGGCTGGGGTTGTGGCTCAGCGGTACAGCACTGGCCTAGCAAGTGCAAGGCCCTGGGTTCGATCCTCAGCACCACATATACATAAATAAATAAAAAGAAAGGTATTGTGTCCGACTAGAACTAAAAACTAAATAAATAAATAAAAGTGATTCCTAGGATTCATCCGTAGTCCACTTAATAAATATTTCCAGTAGGGAGGCATGAAAACCAAATTTTTAACAGCTTTGACCCATAGATTATTTTTATGAACACAATTTAAGAGCTGTGGCTTTATGGATTCAACTGAATCTTAGCTGAACATTTCTCCAAGTATTTAAAGAGTCAGAGCTTCTAAACAAGTAAGCAAAACATAACCAAAAGCCCACAGTTGGTGCTGCCCACGAGACTTCAATCACCTGTCTCTCTTCACAAAAGCAAATGGCCTTCTAGCTTCTTTGTGAGTCTGAATAAAAATCAGGTCCTTCAATTTTCATAACCTAATGGCAAATTTGCCACTTGAACATTGGCAATCTACAGCATGTGATCCTCACCATAATCAACATCACATTATCTATCCATATACTGTTAACTCCCAAATATTTCTCTCTAACCCAATTTGTTTGTTTTTGCTTCAGAGTGGTAAATCCAACTGACTACTCAAGAATTTCACATGGAGGAATAATAGATATCTCAAACTCCATATGTCCAAAATGGATCTCTTAATGCAGGTCAAATGAAACCCTCCTCATTTCCATTGTATTGCTTGAGCCCCCAACCTCTGGGTCATGGAATCATTCTTTATATTCTTCTCTTTTATCCATCTAATCTGTTAGGAAATCATATTGCTTAGATTTTTAAAGAGAATCTGACTTCTTTTCTGCTATAGCTCCTGTCTATCATAAAAATTATTTCAATAGTATCATAACTGGTTACTCTGCCTCTACCTTTGTAGCTCAGCAAACTTACTTTTGAATCCCAGTTTTACAATGAATCATGGATCATGGATCTTGGATCTTGGACAAATATTTTTCCCTTTCTGAGGCTCATTCTCATGTTTGTTTTGTTTACCGTTGTTTATTGAGTGTATGAAACATAAGTTGGGGTTAAATAAATTAACATTTACTAGAGGAATATGTTTAAACTATGCTAAAAATCCCAGCAATTATATGTAAAGTTCCTGATACATTGTAGACACTAAGTAGATGACTGCCATTCTTTTTACGTTTATTAACGACTTGGGTTCATTTTCAAATTTTTGAGCTTTGTCAATCCCCAAGTTAAGAGATATTTATTTAACATCTATCTCTTATTCTCTGTCCTTCCCAAGAACAAATAAATCTCAAAATAATAAGCATAAAACAAAAACACTTAGCTGTTGAGAAATTTGGAGTGTTCTAATTTGGAGTTCTTTTAAAATAAAGTTGCTATAAACAGTATCAAGAATACAAATAATGGGCTGGGGTTGTGGTTCAGTGGTAGGGCATTTGTCTAGCATATGTGAGGCACTCTGGGTTTGATCATTAGTACCATATAAAAAAATAAATAAAGTTATTTAAAAAAAAGAATACAAGTAACAATAAATGTTGGCGAGGATGTGGGGAAAAAGGTAAACTCAAACACTGTTGGTAAGACTGCAAATTGGTGCAACCATTCTGGAAAGCAGTATGGAGATTTCTTAAAAAACTAAGAATGGAACTGCCATTTGGCCCAGCTATTCCACTACTCAGTATACATCCAAAGGATTTTAAATCATCATACTGCAGTGATATAGCCGCATCAATGTTTATAGTGGCACAGTTCGCAATAGCTAATCTATGGAGCCAACCTAGGCGCCCTTCAACAGATGAATGGATAAAAAATATTGTGATACACACACACACACACACACACACAGTATTACTCAGCCATTAACAAGAATGACTTTTGACAGAAAATGGATGAATCTGGAGACTATAATGCTAAGTGAAATAGACCAAACCCAAGAAACCAAAGGTCAAATGTTTTCACTGATATGTGGAAGCTAACCCACAATAAGGGGTGGGAGGAGATATTCAGTAGATTGGACAAAGGGGAATAGAGGGAAGGATAGGAAAAGAAAAGACAATGAAATGAATCTGACATAATTTCCTGTGTACATATATAAAAACACCACAGTGAATCCCACTGTCATGTATATCCTCAAGAATGGGAATCTAAACTAGAATAAGATTGCATGCTTATATAATTATATCAAAAGGATTCTACTGTCACATATAACCAAAAAGAACCAATTTTAAAAAAGACACAAACACAAATAAGCAGTCCCTTCTCTTACTTCAG